AAACAAGACCCCGAGATACTTGAACTTCTCCACTTGGGGCAGGAACTCATCCCCGACCCGGAGTGGGCACTCCACCCTTTTCCAGCTGAGAACCATGGCCTCAGATTTGGAGGTGCTGATCCTCATTCCCGCTGCTTCACACTCGGCTGCGAACCGTTCCAGTGCGAGCTGGAGGCCCTCACCCGATGAAGCCAACAGAACCACATCATCAGCAAAAATCAGAGATGAGATTCTGAGGCCACTAAAGTGAAAGCCCTCCGCCACTTGGCTGCGCCTAGAAATCCTGTCCATAAAAATTATGAACAGAACCGGAGACAAAGGGCAGCCCTGGCGGAGCCCATCACCCACCAGGAACGAGTCCGACTTATTGCCGGCAATGCGAACCAAGCTCTTGCAACGGTTGTATAGGGATCGAATGGCCCGTAGCAATGGGCCAGACACCCCATATTCCCGCAACACCTCCCACAGGACACCCCGAGGGACACGGTCGAATGCCTTCTCCAAGTCCACAAAACACATGTAGACTGGTTGGGCAAACTCCCATGCACCCTCAAGTATCCTGGAGAGGATAAAGAGCTGGTCCAGTGTTCCGCGACCAGGACGAAAACCGCATTGTTCCTCCTGTATCCGAGGTTCGACTAACGGACGAACTCTCCTTTCCAGCACCCTGGCATAGACTTTCCCAGGGAGACTGAGGAGTGTGATCCCCCTGTAGTTGGAACACACCCTCCGGTCCCCTTTCTTAAAGATGGGGACCACCACCCCGGTCTGCCAGTCCACAGGTACTGCCCCTGATCTCCACACAACATTGCAGAGGCGTGTCAACCAGGACAGCCCTACAACGTCCGGAGCCTTCAGGAATTCGTGGTGGACCTCATCAACACCAGGGGCTTTGCCACCAAGGAGTTGTTTAACTGCCTCAGTGACCTCGCCCCCGGAAATTGGCGGGTCATTCCCCTCATCCCCAGACTCTGCTTCCTCCTCGGAAGACGTGTCAGTGGGATTAAGGAGGTCCTCGAAGTATTCCTTCCACCGCCTGACAATTTTCTCAGTCGACGTCAGCAGCGCTCCGCCAGCACTATACACAGTGCAGGTAGAGCACCGCTTTCCCCTCCTGAGACGTCTGACGGTTTGCCAGAATCTCTTCGAGGCAGTCCGAAAGTCTTTTTCCATGGCCTCTCCGAACTCCTCCCACACCCGAGTTTTTGCTTCAGCCACTGCCCGAGCCGCATTCCGCTTGGCCTGTCGATACCTGTCGGCTGCCTCCGGAGTCCCACAGGCTAGCCAAGCCCGATAGGACTCCTTCTTCAGCCTGGTGGCTCCCTTCACCTCTGGTGTCCACCATTTGGTTCGGGGATTACCACCACGGCAGGCACCAACCACCTTGCGGCCGCAGCTCAATGCAGCAGCTTCGGCAATGGAGACGCTGAACATGGTCCATTCGGACTCAATGTCCCCAGTCTCCCTCGGAATGCTGTTGAAGCTCTGCCGGAGGTGTGCGTTGAAGATCTCGCGGACTGGGGCCTCTGCTAGACGTTCCCAGCACACCCTCACTACGCGTTTAGGTGCACCAGGTCTGTCCAGCGTCCTCCCCCGCCACCTGATCCAACTCACCACCAGGTGGTGATCAGTTGACAGCTCAGCCCCTCTCTTTACCCGAGTGTCCAGAACATATGGTCGCAGGTCTGCTGATATGATTACAAAATCGATCATCGACCTACGGCCTAGAGCGTCCTGGTGCCACGTGCACTTATGGACACTCTTATGTTCGAACAGGGTGTTCGTTATGGCCAAACTGTGATTAGCACAGAAGTCCAATAACAGAGCACCGCTTGGGTTCAGATCAGGGAGGCCGTTCCTCCCAATTACGCCCCTCCAGGTCTCGCTGTCGTTACCCACGTGAGCATTGAAGTCTCCCAGCAGGACAACAGAGTCTCCAGGTGGAGCACCCTCCAGCACCCCCCCCCCCCCCCCCCCCCCCAGGGACTCTAAGAAGGCTGGGTACTCAGAACTGCCACTCGGCGCATAAGCGCAGATGACAGTCAGGACCCGTTCCCCGACCCTGAGGCGCAGGGAACAAACCCTCTCGTCCACCGGGAAAAACCCCAACGTACCGGCAGCAAGCCGAGGGGATATTAGGATACCCACCCCAGCCCGCCGCCTCTCACCAGGGGCAACTCCAGACTGAGACAGAGTCCAGCCCCTCTCCAGGAGACTGGTTCCAGAGCCCAAGCCATGTGTAGAGGTGAGCCCGACTAATTTATATATTTGTTAAAAACTGTATACACTCAAACACACACATGACTGTTATGTTGTTTGTATCATAAGATATTATCTTTATTTTTGTCACCTTTTCCTCATATAATAATGAAAATCCTACCACATATCAATTATTTTCCAGCCTATTGCTTTCAAGTTTCAAATTCTGGTAATGTGCCAACCCTAATCATTAGGCTTCTGCTATGCATGTTTCTGCACTCAGGACGTAGTCTGCATTTTTTCCATATGTCAGCATCAGCAGTGACCAATAAAAATCATAAAGCCTTAAATGCAGCCTGTTTTTTAATAAAACATTATGAGGACAAAGCTAAGTCTGATGCTTTCAGATTATTACATATAGCTTTCATACAGCAGCAGGCTCCACATGAGTGTCTAAAGCTAAAACAAGAAAATTACCATTGGATAATAAATTATCCCCAACATGAAGACGGGCTCGATCAGATTACAACAGTAAACACTGCAACATGTCACCGCTGCTGATGCATGCACACATGTGAACCTACTGCAGACTTAAATATTACCTGCTCCTTTGTGCCAACACGAGAAAACAAACTACTATACACACTAAATGAAATCATCCTTCTAGTGTCAAGAAGCAGCGAAGAGATCATGCAAGGAAACCAGTACCAAACGTTGTCCATGTGTTATTGATGAGAGAGGAGCAGAATAATGCAGTCGGCATAAATAATGTAAACCAGCCACAGCTTTTTACTCAGCTATCAAAAAGAGGCGGTCAGCAAATCATCCTCAGCTCAGTGAGGCGAGTGACGATTTTTCACTGCACACCTGCTCAATATGGTACAAGGCCTGACACGCACTCTTTACACTTTCTGATCACAAGTTCGCCATCATCATGTGGGGGTGATTTAGTTATTTTGCAATGACAAAATAGTTTTTGTTTTAGATTAGGACTGGTGAGGAGCTGCCATCAGCAGTTGTGTTTCTCTTGTTGAGATTAATTTCAGTGGGCTCAGTGCTGCTGTGGATTACTCGCAGCTGTTGAACCCCCTGTCTAGATCTGTTGTTCATACTGATGCAGGCCTCTCGAAATTTCTCTCTCCATAAACTTACTGCAGCGTAAACTTGCTGCCGGGCACATGCATCTGTATTTCTACATGTGTGGGGAATGTGAACAGAAAGAGGAAGGTGGAAGGGTTGAAAGGAAGGAAGATGAAGAGTCAAGGGAAGCAATCAGAGGGCAAAACTGTAATGTGACCTAACCTCCTGCACAGGATGCAAAAATGCTTAGATGTTCACAAACACACAAATATATACTGTATATATGATACTAAGACATCTAAGAAATCTCACACACACAAACACAATGTGTATCCTTTTGCTCCTTCTGTCCCACATCCTTCCTTCTCCGGGGGCCCATAAATCAATCACTGTCAAAATACTGCACTTCTACAGTGTAACTGAGAGTCACACACATAAAGGCGCACACACTTGGCAACGCACATCGAGTAACTCTGTGACTACATTTGCATTCACTTTTTGGTTCGCTAATTTGAATGTGAAATATAAACCTACGCTGCATCAAACGGTGATGGCTCAAGCGGTGCCAAGAAACGTTTTATTCCTAAAAACAAAAATCTTTAAAAAGCAAAGAACGACTTCCTCAAGACGAGGAGTTCATGGACCGTCTGCCCTGAATGTAAATTTCGCGTATTTATTTTCTCAACCAAACTGAATGAAAGACTGAAAGGGCTCATTTCAAAATTAAAGATTAATGTGTTCACCTATAGTTCTATAGCTACACACGGAATATGTGAGCACTAAAATGAAGCATGACCATTTTTGTATGTACGATGTGAAAAATTGAAGGACTGTGGTTCAGTGATTATTGTTAGTTTACAAGAAGGAGGACAAAATCTGAGCCAAGCATAAAAATGAGAAAAGACAAATCTGCTGTAGTAAGTCAGAATAGTAAATACCAGATGAGGGAAACAGATTAGTGACACTTGTAGCCAATGCAGAAGCAGTTGTTTCAAACAAGAGGAAAACTATGTGGCATAAAAGATAGACGGCGTGTGTGCAAGCATGTGTGTGTGGAGGCTTCAACAGTGGCTACAGTACCAAATCAATTTCACATCAACATGACAAAGACTACAGTTCATTTTAGTCCACATGCATGTTATGCACCAGCAGAACTGAGACCCAGAGAAACTTAATCACAACAGCAGCCGCTTCCATCCAAACCGGGTGAATTCGTGGATACATGAGGGCCTGCATATTAAATTAGGATCATGATGATCAAAGACTTTCAGGTTCTGATTGCTTTAATTTTCCATCATCCTACCTTTAACTTAGATTTCTGTATATTTTGCCTCCTCAAAAGTGGAACCACAAATCAAGGCTTTAGTGGTCAGTGACGAACACTGTTTGGCCCATATGCTTTTGATGTTGGCATATTAATATTCGATACATCCACATATTATAAGGTTACAAGGAATCTGGAGTCTTACTCAGCTGTGACAGAGCAAAAGGTTGGGTAAACTGAAGAAATGTAAACCAAAAGAACAACAACATATACTGTTGTTGTTCTTTGGTTAATTCATACAGTGAAATATCTTTGACCACATAACATAGTTTCTCTCCCTCTAATTAATAACAGGCTTTAATGTTTTCATGTATCCATGAAGCCGTCCACGTCAAACTAAAATCACCGGTTCATTCTCCCACAGACCACAACTCAAGATTAGAGCAAGAAGTCTTACCTTTGATGCCAAACTTGGAGTTTCCTCCAAACTTGAGAATAATCAACATTACAAGGAAACCAGTGAAGGCTACAGCAGCGATGCCCACCACCACGTACACCTGTACAATGAGAAATCGGGGTTATAAATCTCCCGAGAGGTGAGCAAACACACTGACAGCTACACAAAGCCAAATGCCAAACCCACCACAACAAAAGGTATAGGCCACAGGCTGTTTATATCACTGCTCAAGAAAGGCAGATTTTCTTAAGGACTGCTTTATCTTCAATGTGTTGGGTTTATTCAATTACGCATTACATAAAAATAGAGCCAGCTCAGGTGTTTCTAGACAGGAAACACAAATAAATGAAAGAGAAACAAGCACAAACCATAAATAACTTGCAGTGGCAAACAGCAAAACCGTAGAGCTGCAGGAAAATAGAAGTGACTTACAGCGACTCTGTCCTCGTGTTGATTCGGAGGAGGGGTGTCTATTGATGCAAGAGATAGAGAGGAAGAGAAACTCAAGCTGTGATTTAAGGACAAGTAAAGGAGTGTTTTTTACTCACTGTCAAACAAAGATATGGTTTCAACTGACACAATAAGATTTACTGTTCATCTGAAGCATAAAATTGTTTATCTGTTTCTAACAAAATAAGCTAAAATATTACATTTTGTTCTTTTTTCAGCTTCTCACTTTAGAGGTTGCTACACCAGATGATCTGCCTCCATCTCATCCTAGCCCTTACCATCCTCTTCTGTCACACCAACCCTCCACATGTGCTTCTTCATTACATGAGGTCTTCCTCCTTCCTGGGGGCTCCATCTTCAACATCTTTTGTCCAATATATCCTCTATACATCCTCTACACATGTCTAAACCATTTATTCTCATGTCTATTCTGGTCACTCCCCATGAAAATCTTAACATCTTTAACTTTGGCACCTCCAGGTCGGCCTTCTGTCTTTTTTGTCAGTGCCAGAGTCTCCAAACCGTACATCACAGAAGGTCTCACTAACATCTTGTGAAACTTCCCATTCACTCTTTCTGCTATCCTTCTGTCAGGAATCATCCCTGACATTATTCTCCACCGACTGGAGGGTTGATGGTTGACCTCAGGTATGTAAACTCATCTATGCTTTTCAAAAAGCAGACCAAGAGTATCATTATACAGAAGTATCCCACCATGTGGAAGCTGCTCCAACAGGAGGTCAGATTTTCATAAGGTTAGATTAAGAGAACTTCACAGCCTCATCATCCAAGGTGGTTTACACCGGTCATATTGATCTGACCTCTTCCTCAAAGCCTTTTTTTTTTTTTGTTGAAATAGAGAAAATTACCTTAACATTACAAACAATTAAGCTCAAATCACTTGTCCAAGTAACCAAAGCATCTGGCGTTTTACTTAATTACTGACTTTATACAAACTCAACAACTTGTAGACATAAAGTTAACGTAATCAACATGCTACCTGAGCGTATATCACAAACTGATGGGTGCTTTTTTTTTGTTTTTGCAGTTTTTTTCTGTCTTTCAAATCTAGTGGCAGATGTGCAAAAATACAAAACAAAACTACCGTAAATAATTCATTGTCTGTGTTACTTGTGGATAAGAGTGAGCAACTAAAAGATATGGCTGTACCTGTGGTTTGATCTGCTGGTTGGAGGGCGTATTGGAGAAAGACACAGACAGAAACAAATTAGTTCTCAAACATATTTCAACTGTAAGACAAGCACTCTGTTTTCTGAGCTTGTTTCAAAAACATAGTCATTACACAAACACGACGTGCAAACAGCACGTGCTAAACATGCACACGTTCTAGCTGCAGGGTCGTACGCGTACGTAACCTCTCAACATCTTAAGAAAAACAAAAGAGTTCGTGAGAGTAAGATTGCTGAAATGTAATTTGTGTTTGTTGACGACACCAGTTGTAAAAGTGAGCCTGAACTTTCCGGCACTTTCAGTTAATGAGTAATTAAATCAGGTTGGCAGTTTAATACACAATATTTTTAAGTGATTTCAGTCTTTATGGGCTGCAGAGACAGTTAAGTCACTACAGTTCAGATGCAAAGCTGTGCTTAAGATGCTTCATCTAGCTAGTGCTACAGAAGTGCAGTGAGCGTAATCGGAGTAACTTTTTTGAAGTGGAGAGTACTTGAAAATTCAGCATTTCAAACAGCTCAATATGTATGACACGAAAACAGTTTCTTTGCAGTTTGACACATAATTTGTCTGCTAGCTGAGGGCAGAGTGACTGTGTTTCCCAGGGAAGAAAAAATACTAATGCATGATCATTTTACTCTGTGAGATGGAGAACAGAGGGAAGACTTGAGAAAAATGCTCTAATAAAGGTAGAAATTTCAAGCTTACACGTAATGTTCTAGTTCAGTTTACAGCTTGGTAATCAGATTGGATCGCTATATAACAAGTTTCTAAAGTTGTCTAGATGTTTCACATCATAAAATGTTTTTGAAAGTAAATTAACCGGTAATTGATATTAATTCATGTTATCCAAAGTGTATACACGTGCAGTCTGTATTGTGGGTCAGTGATGAACTATGTTGGAGTTGTAAAGTGCAGACTGTGGTGTCCTGGCTCAATGCTCGATGGGTCCTCGTATCTCCAGAAACATTATAAAAGAGAGATAAGCCCTTTAATTCTGAATTGAAATTTAAAAGATATTTAGATAGTGGTCGAATTAGAACTGCATGCAAAGTTTGAACAGATCTGTATAAGATTTTACTAAATATTTTGTACGTGCCTGTAAGTTTTTGTCCTGTTGATGTTTGAAATGAAAGATAATTTAGATAATGCTTCAAAATAACAGTAAATCTATGCGCGGCTGCTAAGTAGACAGTGTCACTGATTTTAATTTAAGCTTATTTAAGCTTTTCGTGTTCATTAGTAACAGTTGCCAAATTGCAGCTTTCTACTGGCTGGGGGTTGAAAAGCAGCCATAGTGGCAAATATAATGTGGGCCTACATATTGTAGAATATAGTTGTTCCCTCACTGCCCTAATACACTTGAACCTTGAGTACCCCCACCTGCCAAATCCCACTTTAACCCCTACACGATGCTGATGTTAAACATCTAAAAACAGTGCCTGTAAACAGAAACTAGATGTGCCTCTTTTAAGAATTTTGCACTTAAAAAAGACAAAACATACTCACTTACCATAATAGTAAGGCTCCGGATCTGTTGCTGCAAAAAAAAAAAAAGAGCATTTACATTGATGACATTTGTTTCACAAAGCCAACTTTGTGCATCAACACAAACTATTTCACTGTATGTAGCTATACCTGTACATATATAGTCTAGTATAACATAAAAGCATCAGCAAGATTTTTTTTCTTTCAGCAGCTCCACCTTTGCTATCAATAAAGGCAGATTTAAAACAGAACACTGCCAGTTTGCCATTCCTTTATCTGATTTCATGCCAGCAACTACCCCTCATTATAAATCGATGCGCATAACCCAGATGGCAAAATATACACAGTCTGCAGCAATATTTAAAGTGTGAAACAGAGTCATGATGAATCAGGATGGCGACTGAGAAGTATATGAAAGAGTCTATTTGTGGTAATAATTAAATGCATTTCCTATATACTAAACAGAAATATTTGATTGTAATTGTACAAAGATAGGAAAGAATTTAAAAGTATCTGTAACGGCAAAAATAGCTGTAAAAGGGGCGATTTCTTAGGTTTTGCCTTGAGATTAAAGGGATATAAAATGATCAAATTAAAAATATTCAGTACGGGCTAAACAGACTAGAAAGTTTGGACGCTGCTTCAAATACAGTACTTAAAAATGCCAAAATGCAGTATTTGGTGGGATTGTCGTAAAGGAAAAAATCCCATTTATGGTGCAAAGGGACAAAAAAGTTTTGCACCCAACTAGTCCTGCACCATTTGTCACAGAATTATAGTTCAAAGACCAAAATAAGCAGCTCATTTATCCACTCTTCTCGTTGATTTTCTTCCAAACTATTACAATTAATGCACAAAAAACACATTCATCTCAGTGGGTGGAATGTGTCGTACTAGAGTACAGGGTGGGCCATTTATATGGATACACCGTAATAAAATGGGAATGGTTGGTGATATTAAAGTCCTGTTTGTGGCACATTAGCATATGTGAGGGGGCAAACTCCTCAAGATGGGTGGTGACCATGGTGGCCATTTAGAAGTCGGCCATCTTGGATACAACTTTTGTTTTTTCCATAGGAAGAGGGCCATGTGACACATCAAACTTATTGGTAATGTCACAAGAAAAACAATGGTGTGCTTGGTTTCAACGTAACTTTATGCTTTCATGAGTTATTTACAAGTTTCTGACCACTTATAAAATGTGTTCAATGTGCTGTCCATTGTGTTGGGTTGTCAATGCAACCCTCTTCTCCCACTCTTCACACACTGATATCAACACCGCAGGAGAAATGCCAGCACAGGCATCCAGTATCTGTAGTTTCAGGTTCTGCACATCTCGTATCTTCACACCATAGACAATTGCCTTCAGATGACCCCAAAGATAAAAGTCTAAGGGGGTCAGACCGGGAGACCTTGGGGGCCATTCAAGTGGCCCACGACGACCAATCCACTTTCCAGGAAACTGTCCATCTAGGAATGCTCGGACCTGGCACCCATAATGTGGTGGTGCACCATCTTGCTGGAAAAACTCAGGGAACGTGCCAGCTTCAGTGCATAAAGAGGGAAACACATCATCATGTAGCAATTTCAAATATCCAGTGGCCTTGAGGTTTCCATTGCTGAAGAATGGACCCACTATCGTTGTACCCCATATACCACACCAAACCATCACTTTTGTTGTTCCAACAGTCTTGGAGGGATCCATCCAATGTGGGTTAGTGTCAGACCAATAGCGGTGGTTTTGTGTCAATGGAAAATTGTACTTAGTAGTCAGTATAATCTTTTAATGATATAAGTTTGCATATGGTAGAATACTGTATGAAATCATTTGTGTTTAGAAGTATATAGTTGATGGCATATTGAAAGAATGTCTCATCCTAGGAGGTCTGTAACATCCCAGGGTGTTCTGGCGTTCACCCCCACATCCTAGGAGTATGGGAGAGGTCGTACCTTGTCTTATTGTTTTACGGTAGGATTAACGTAGCTATACATGTTTTAGTCTAAGTGCCTTTTGTTTAGATGAACTGCTGGACTTCCAGTCCAGCAGGTTTAGGGAAGTCCTTAATGGGGTCACACTCTGACACACACACACACACACACACGCACACACACACACACGTACACCTCTACATATCAATGTATGGAACAAACGCTCACTGAAGTGTATAAATAAAAGACCAGGGCAGTCCTCAGTGCTTAGTCTCTGAGGCTCACTCTTGGTGTGTGAGCTCTGGAGGCTGCCCTTGCTAGCAAGAAAATCTATGTGTTTCTCCTCTCTGATTCTCTGCTGAAGAAGTGTTTTAGAATATATCTCTTAACATTTTGTTTGTTAACTTCACCATTCACATAAAAGTTTGCCTCATCACTGAACAAAATCTTCTGCGTGAACCTAGGGTCCTGTTCCAATTTTTGTTTTGCCCATTCTGCAAATTCTGTGCGCCGATCTGGGTCATCCTCGTTGAGATGCTGCAGTAGCTGGAGTTTGTAAGGGTGCCATTTGTGAGTAGCTAATATCCAGTGACATGCGGCGAGTGCTACGCTGTGGGCTCTTGCTGAATGAAGCTAGGACAGCCACTGATGTTTCTTCATTAGTGACAGTTTTCTTGCATCCACATTTTGGCAAATAAAACACTGAACCAGTTTCACGAAACTTAGCAAGCAGTTTGCTAACTGTAGCATGGGAGATGGGTGGTCTCGTAGGGTGTCTTGCATTGAAATCTGCTGCAATGACCCGGTTACTGCGTTCACCAGATATCAACACAATTTCGATCCGCTCCTCACGTGTTAACCTCTTCGACTTTTCAATGGCTGTGAACAAAGAGAAACTTGTAAATAACTCATGAAAGCATAAAGTTACGTTGAAACCAAGCACACCATTGTTTTTCTTGTGACATTACCAATAAGTTTGATGTGTCACATGGCCCTCTTCCTATGGAAAAAACAAAAGTTGTATCCAAGATGGCCGACTTCTAAATGGCCACCATGGTCACCACCCATCTTGAGGAGTTTGCTCCCTCACATATACTAATGTGCCACAAACAGGACTTAAGTATCACCAACCATTCCCATTTTATTACGGTGTATCCATATAAATGGCCCACCCTGTACATTAATTAACTGTCAGACAGGGAAAGGAAAAATATTCTTCTGAAATTTTTAACTCTAACCTGTTGCTAGGCTCATGGTTTTCAGTTTACAGACATCATTGCATGACTACAAAGTAGGAACATTTCTCCTTTTTCAAACAGTGTTTTTCTCAATGCCAGTTGATCTGCACTCTTTGACCTGGAGGCATCTTAATGAGAACAGTATCATCTTTCTGGCGAAAACAGATCCATTATATTTTGATCTAGGACTTTTTGAGAAAAGCTGAAAATACGTCTTTTTCCGGGTCTACACAAGTAAAACAAAAAGAAAAAAATATATATATAACTTTTGGGGCCGCTCAATAAATTTACATACAATTTATTTATTTGTCTGTCAGTGTTCCTGACTGTTTGTCTCCATAGCCATACAGATACGGAGTCATGGCTTTACATATGTTACGGTGTTACTCAGTGTCAAAGCTTCTCCTGTCTGCCTCTTTTTCATATGCACACATGAAAAACACAAAATAGTCCAAAAACCCCACCAGCAGCTAACAACAGCGACTGTGTTGCTGTAAGATTTTCAAAACAAAATCCTCCAGCTTGTTAATGGAAGACCAGTAAGCTTTAAAACATGTAGATCTTTCAACATAAAAGCCATTAATTAAATACAGAAAGCTATTCGGTTGACCAAAGCTGTCTGATTTTCAAAAGAATTTATCAGAGTTCATCAAAATCAGAGCCTCCAGTTGTGTATTGGACATTGTCAAGATGCTTTAATAATGTGAGATTTTCAAAGTAAAATTACAAAATTAACAGGATGTTAAAAATAAATAATATATTTCAAATAAAACTTAGCTAGACATGAATTTATCAGAATGGTTTCAGGTGCCAGAGTTTAAACTATCAAAAGTATTTTGGGGCAGTCTACTTAGCTTCAACTTCTTAACAACATAGCAAGTCCAGCAGTAGCATTAATCACTCTACTGTTTCTCCAGAAATTGCATAGTCTAGTTCTTGTGATTATTAATTATGAAGAATATTTTTCCTCAATTAATAATTTAGTTAAAAAAGAAGTGGTATATCATATGTTCTTGAAAAAAATAGTAAAAATGAACTTGCTGATAATTTTTTAATAACCAGATCAGACATCATGATGATAGTGGTGTAGAAACAGAAAATAAAACATCCAATAATGTTGTATCTTACCATCGGAAGGCATGTGCATGAAATGAGCATCAACTTCTTTTTCGTCTGTGCCATAGGGGTTTGCAACCTCTAGTTTGTAACGCCCATTGTTGATGTGTGTAGGGCTGTCCAACTGCAAGCAGCCATGGTACTCTCTCTCAGCGTAGTCGTGGATCCTGGTGAAGATGTACTGCCCCTCCTTCACTGGCTTACCATTCTGTGACCACTTGAAAGTTGGCTTAGGGTTTCCTAAAGAGAGGTAGTGAAAACAATACAAAAGAACCAGTAACGTTAACTAGTTTTCATTATTTAAAAAGATGTCATTACCCTATTTACGCAGGTACTGGTGTGACTTAGGGAAAGTCTTTTTATGTTGGGACCTTGTGAAATCACAAAAATCAAACATCAGAATATGACTAAATACAATCATGTGGACATCTCTTGTACCTGTCACGCTGAAGGGAATACACCAATGATGATCTGGAATTGCATCACTCAGCTTTGTGATTTTGGGAGGAACTGATGCAGCGGAGAGAAAAGAGAGTTTAAGAGCAACAGTGTGAAATTCAAACAGAAGACAGAACTAAGATAAGGCAAAGGTAAAAACTAGCGAAGCGTGCAAGAACACAGATTAAAAGATGAGAAGAACCGTTGTCTTCTCAAGCTTTTAATTCTCTGATTTAAAGACTACGCTGCATCGAGGGATGCTTTGACAAATTAATCTTCACTAAATTGGGGCAGTTTGCCAGAGGATAAACTTACATAGTATATTCAGCACCACAGAGGACTCTTTGTCTCCTACAATGTTTTCAGCTGTGCAGCTGATCTTGCTGTTGTGGTCCGTGGAAGACAGGTTAAACAGTTGCAGCTTGGAAGTCTGGCCCGATGTTGCTATCTGCATGAGAAAAGAGCAGCCGCACAAACAAAAACTGATTGCTTAGTAGAAGACAATGTCTTCAAAGTCAGATCGTGATGTTAAGAGGTCCAAGAGCCACATTAAGTAAAAATTGACTTTTAAATCAGAGTGGACCTCGATAACGCTCAAGCTGTTAAATGTTCATGATATGTGCATAAAACACTAGAAACGCTGGGTTATGTCATTCATAGCACTTTAAACAAGAGGGAAAAGTATGTGTTGACAGTAATATACTCTAAATTGCTAATTGTTTTTATGATGACACAGCCGGTCTGTGGTAGCCAAACCCTTCTTCTGGTGTTGTGAGGAAATCAAATACTTATTTCCCTCATGGACATGCAAATCATGTCAAACTTTTTTAGTAATTTGTTTTGTTTTGATATTCTGTCTCTCTCCATTAAAATGAAACTAACAGAAAGATTAGAGACTGTTCATTTCTTTGTAAGTGAGCAAGCTTACAAATTCAGCAGGGGATCAATCAGAGTACATGCTTTTGTCTTTGGGGGAAGAAATTCTAACGGCAAGCTACTACAATCTTTTACATGTAAGACTTTGATTGTTGTAGACTTGTGAGGTAGCTAGTAATGGGCAGCCATGTGGGCAAAAATGCCTGGCTGGAGTCTGTCTTTACATTTTCACGGAACCTGTTCCCTGACTTTGGGGGATTGCAAGAGATGAAGTCTTCAACACACACAAGCAACCAAAATGCAGTTATAATTAATGGTAATAAGCCATTTATTGGAAATCAGAGTAGGAACATTAAAATAACAGTATCATAGCAACAAATGGTCTGAATACTGAAATGCTGAAATGTAAAGCTCATAGAGCACAATATCGTAATTTCTGTAACAGTAGGACAGCAGTGCTGGTACACTGTGTGTCTGTGTGTGTGTGTCTCCTAACCTCATAGTAGGCGACACGTATCATATCCCAGAACAGCTCAGGAGATGGGACACCAGAGGTCGTACACAACAGCTCCATATTCTCTCCCTCCATTTTGGTCAAATTGGATGGGGTTAACGTTGCCGTGGGAACCTCTGCATACAGCAAGGGGGCAGAAAGGAGGAGAGAAGAGTGAGGAGAACGTAAAGTTTAGAGATGGCGAGAGGACAGGACAGGAAGTGGTAGGAAAGGAAGCAAACTTAGGATTTAAGGCCTGTTTAAGGCCGCTGTTTTTTTTCTTCTCAGTTGAAATACAAATCACGTAAGAACCTCGACAACAAGACAAGAGCAGGCAAACACACACACGCAACCACAGGGACACACAAAGAAAGAGCTCGAATTCAATCTCCTGCTCTCTTTCTCTCACTTTCATTTAAGCACACTCACCCCAATCAAACAGTCAGACAAAGAGACAGAGTTCAAACACAGTGATGGTTACACTGATTACTAGTGCATGTCTTCAGCAGCCCAACTACTAAATTGATTGGACACAGTCTAAAGCCCCTGTCAAAGCAAAGACACTGGTGACTGTGTGTGTGTGCATATATGTTTGTGTGTGTGTGTCTACATAGGTGACCAGGATGTGACCTGAGCATGACCAATCAGACTCAATCAGAGTCTTGCCACTTTTGTCCCCTGTCCAATAACATCATTGAAGAGAAGAGAAGAGTGTCGACAGCTACTGCAGATAAAAACTGGACAGATTTCTTATCAAACCCCATCCTCTCCCCACCCGTTTCCAACCTCTTCTGTCCGTCGGCAGAATGCTTATCACCAGGGCAACCCACTTATCACTACGGCAACCCACTCAATCACTGTGAGACGCCGTAAAAACCAGTCATTTCACTGGTGGCAGCCCAGCTACTATATCAGAACGACATATCTTAACAGGCTCTCAGTAAATCAGCTTTCTACTGCCACTACAGCCATCTGCAGGCTGCACATTACACACACACACACACACACTCACACACACATCTCCCACTGAAGCCAACAAATTAGCATAAAACCTCTGCAAACCACCGTGATTTTGATGTAAGTGCAGCAGGATCGTTATGACCTCATGTTCAATTATGGTAGTTAAATCATCCATGCCAGTGTGTGATCCTGAATCTTTAGCTGCTTAGATGTTTTCAGAATCAACAAGTGGGATTGAAAAGGGTTTTATTGTAATTATGGACGGTAGATCGCCCTGCAATTGTGACAACACCAGCAATTATACGGAACTGTGTCGTGTATCAGCGCTGAGCCCGCGCTATAGTTCACCTGCAGCCACTTGTGAGGAAATTCTGGCAGTCGGGTGTCTGCAAGGGATGCACGACATTTATATTCATGCAAGAGAGTTAGACACTAGCTAAATGGTTTTTCATTCAGCCTTTTGACTAAAAAATCCCAGCTATGTTTCTGTTAGTAGTGTTGAGCCATATCTTTTGTGAAGGCATGGCTGAACTTTGCGGTGGTTATTGATGTAGGTCTGTTTTCTTGTGAGAGATGTAGACATTTACATTGTGACAGTCTGTGACACAACGACAGAAAACCATTCACACTCACACTCAAATCACTCAAACCATGGCCAATTTAGAGTCACCGTTTAAGCTAATGTTTTCCAAAACATACGTTTAAACAAATAAAGACGACATGCAATAAGAGCGAAGGAAGAATAAAGGTTAAAGAGCACAAAAATCTGAGTGGTCGAACTGCTTGTTTTCTTCTTATTTTTAAGGTTATTTCCTGTCATGCATTGCAGAATTTTCAAGTATTCTTCTATTATGAGTAGAAATATAAATAGATTACTGTACTTATATTGCCTCAATTTGTGATTTGATGATATTTTTCAAATAAATACAGTGCAGTGCTGAAACATGATATCCCATGGATCCTTAGCTGGGCTCAAAACTGATGCTGGTGTCCATGGGATTTGATTCACATCATCTTGGACTCATGAAACCCCTTGACCTCTCAACAGAAGCATCTGGAACTGCAATGGTTTTCCGTGTTCCACATTCAGGTGCTGCTTTTAATTTCTCACTTGTCTGTACTTGAAGTTCACATGCTCACTGTAACAACAGGGTTTAGATTTGTACTAAAAGGTCAGCTGAATATTTTTTTTCTTTTGTCTTTTCCACACTGCTGTAGCCTTCACACTTGTATAGAGGTGTTTTATTTGGAAAGCAGCTCATTATTCACTCATCCACTCAGGCTGTCAGAGTTATTCCGTCTCTGACATGCATCCAAGTGGTAGCGTCTATGTCCTTCTGTCCTTGTTTTATATTAATCTTATATTGACACATAAAACCCTGGAAATAACTTGGTTGTACCATCAAGATTGGTCTTTTGGAAATTACTGAATATTAATTATGTCTAAAGATTCCACAACAAAAAAAATTTTTCTAATCTTGGAGCTCTGTATGGAGATATGCATGGGATTAGGTTAATTAGATCAATCTAGACTGACTGTAGGTGTGAGTGTGAATGGCTGTCTGTCTCTCTGTGTTAACCCTGCAACAGATTACATCTGTCCAGGGTGTAACCTGGCTCTTACCCTGTGACAGCTGGGTCTGTCTCCAACCTTTCCATGACTCTGAATTGAATAACTGGATTGCACATCTGACTTTTAAGCCAAGGGTCACAAAGCCCACGTCAGACGGGTCAGATAAAAAGAAAATGCATCGCTTTACCACTAATTCAGACTGAATCTCGTAAAAGTTAAGAGGCAAAGTTCATTGCATCTGATACTGTGCATCGTCATTTGACTACTAGGTTGCACTGGAATAAGCAAGAATGATCAATTTAAGTAGAAACTGTGATATTGCTCTGGTAAACGTTGCTTAAAGACTATATTTTAGTGTCACAAAAGAGCTTTCTTTTCTGTAAACGACAACCTCTCAGGTAGAGAAGTGGGGAAAACTTCACAAATGACCCCTGGATGCACCTATGCATATATTAGCTCTTGACACTCCTTGGCACCTGGAATCCATATTGCATTCATTTTCCAGGATTATGTTCAATGAATGGGTGATGAATTACAAGTACGGCATCAGCGACAGCATTACTCAGTGTCATTGTTGCTAGCTTTTGCTACAGGCCACAATAGGCACATTTGTATTGATGTTCAGAGAAATGTTAGCATTTATTATGTAACCTTCCTTCTGCTCCATCATAATGATGTGTTTTTTGAGGCAATGCAGAGGCAGAAAGAGAGTTTTCTGACAAAATGTATAGCAGAGAGAGGTGAGGAAAGCACTGAGGCACGCAACACAAAGTCTGTCCATAAGTTTACCTGTCAATGTTCTGCTGTTCATGCACTGTGAAGGATTCACAAATGATGCAGAGACAAAGGGAGGAGGATGATGTGTTAATGATTGCTGATCTCTTGTCTGAGATTACAGTCAATCAGGCTGACACTTAACTCCAGCATCAGATCATTCGAAAGTTTTGAATCTCTCTACACTTTTTTTTTTATTTTAATTAGGCCACATTTAAATTATTGTACCGAGTTCCTCAGTGTTCTTGGCCAAATGGGTCCAAGGAAGGACGACTGGTGAACTGGCAGCAAAGACATGGTCACAACGTCATTATGCTTAGCCTGTGTGTGGCTAAAAACCTTAATGCTGCCTTTGATATAAAGGTGTCAGAACACAGTGCATCACAGCTTGCTGCAGAACGCTGAGAGTAGACATGCTGACCCATATATCCACTACTGAATACATCTACATCGAGCATCCGAGCATCTGAGTCGACAAATCACATTTTCTTTTATTTTCACATGGACATGGGGTTGTGTGCACATCATCTTCCTGGAGGAGAGATGACAGCAGGATACGCTATCGAAAGAACTCAAGCCAACAGAGGCAGTGCTATGCTCTTGGCGATGTTCTGCTGGGAAACCACAGGTCCTGTATTTCACGTGGATGCTACTTAGACACCTACCACCTGCAAACATAGTCTGCTTCCTCTGTTATGGTAAAAGCTCTCTCTGCCAGGAAGGAAGAAAATTGCAGTAGTGTAAAGAATAAAATATCTAACTGAGAATGAAAACACAACTTTAAACCAGGAGAATCAGATTTATGTTCTATATGTCTCAGTTTTCAGTGTTTAAAGTTGTTGTTCCCGTTTTGAGCACTGTTTGATTAGGTTCAGACTTTTAGGGGTCCTACTGTCTTTCTGAAAGGTTTAAAGCTTTTATATGCATTTTTTCACACCATAAATGCTGTGCATTAAAATGCAAAGCAGTCACTATTCTTAGGGAAATATTTTTATGGCAATTAAATTAAGGCTAAGTTGCGGTTTGGGTTAAATAGCGTTGAAAAGTCATCTTAGCTTTGAGAAAGATTCTCTCTACACAGTCTTCTGTTTGGGAACGAGACACAATCACTGAAATGTAAATGGCTGTAATTCCTTTCCACATTAAAAGGGTTAAGCTATGCAAAAAGACATCCTTCTGGCTCATTTCAAAATCTTAGAACTTACTTTCTTCCATTTTTAATAAAGATTGTTTATTGAATTGTTTTGACCGCCTGTCCTCTTTCCCACAAACTGTCCTTCTTAATCTCTCTTGAATCCTTCAGTTATGAAAACTTCAAAATGACAGCAGTATGTCCTTAGAAGGAAAGCAGGAGATGTCTTAAGACATTAAGGCCTGGATGACCTCTATGTTCCTGCTTCTTAATTAAGATAAAGCTGCAGTTATAGTGCTTGACCCTTAAAAATGTTAGAAACATGATGTCTAACCAGATGCTTACTCTGGATGGCATTACCTTGGCCTCCAGTAACTCTGTGAGGACTCTTGCAGTCGTTTTAGACCAGGACATATATGTAGGACTGCTTTCTTGCATATGCTCAATATCTCTAAAATTAGAAATATCCTGTCTCAGAGTAATGCTGAAAATGTAATTCATGCATTATTACTTCTTGGCTGGACTACTGTAATTCATTATTATCAGGATGTCCTGAAAACTCCCTGAAAAGAACTCAGTTGATCCAAAATGCTGCAGCAAGAGTCCTGACAGGGACTAGAAAGAGAGCACGTTTCTCCTATATTTGTATTTCTTCATTGCCTCCCTGTTAAATCCAGAATCAAACTTAAAATTCGTCT